AGAAGCATCGAGGTGTTTCAGTTGTTCAAAGTCCACGCTTCAACCTGACTGAAACGCTGTGATGGCAGTGAGAGCTGTGCAGAAACTAAAGTCTACAAACCTCAATGAACTGAGGCAATGATGTAAAGAAGAGCGGGACGAAATTCCTTCACAACCACGTGAGAAAATGATACTGTCATACAAACAATGACAGCTGAGATTATTGGAGTTAACGATGTACAACAAGCTGTTGGATCGTGATGGATTTAGATTATTCACGCAATTTTTACACTGTGGGTTTGAATTTGGTTACTAAATAATGACACTGTGGAATCTGTTGTGTATTTTTGTACACTTGAGGTTAAATTCGATCAATTTTAGAACCTGGTTAAAACTAAATCTCTTTAATTATGTCCTGATACTTAAAGACCCAGAACTGAAGGAGTGTGTACTTTCCTTCTCCCATATGTAAATGTCACAAGTGGAAGTCACAACTTCATGAAAAAATAAAGCTGAGAAACTCTTTTATTCCCAGATAATCTGAACTCCTCTTCTGGACTTCATTTTGAAAATATTGTTTTATCAATTGAACTCATGTTGCACTTACTGAAGATCCTCGTGGTTTTCATTGGGCACACAACTGCAAATGTAAAAAAGCTAAATACTTTATTTTTAACCATTCATCCATCCATCCATTATATTTACACACTTTTTTCTTTTTTGGGGATCACTGGTGCCCCAATCTAATAGTCAATGTGCGAGAGGCGGGGACACTGGACAGGTTTCCGGTCCATCACAGGGACACATAGAGACAAACGAGACAAACAATCATTCACTCTCTCACTCACCTAGGGACAATTTAGAGTTACCAATCAGTCTAACATGCATGTTTTTGGTCTGCGAGAGGAAACCAGAGTAACCGGAGAAAACCCACGCATGCACGGACAGAACATGCAAACTCCATTTAGAAAGGACCCCGGCTGGGATTTGAACTGGCGACTTTCTTGCTGAGAAGCAACAGCTCTATCAACTGCTCCACTGTGCCACCACCGTCTTTAATGAAATAAGTAATTAAATAATTACCGTAGTTCATTCCAATGTTTGTCAAATTCACAACTCAATTTGCATACTTTCTTCAATTTAAAAGATGTACGTCTCATTATTTAAATTTGATCTAACTTTATTGCCCGTCACTGTCATTTTCAACCGGATTAGACTCATTTGTTGCTTATCTAAAGCATTTGTGACTTTTCTGGCTCCCTTTATTCCCTCTGCCACAGAACAACAATGAAAACATATAATATTGTGAGTCTCATGCTCCCCAATAACTTGTGACCTCCAGCCTAAATGCGGGGACTTCCCTCGACCGGTTGCTTGTAGTGAAAACCTCTGGTCCATCTGCACCTTAACAGCAGCAGAGATTATCCAGGTTTAAGCCAAGAAACTATCAGATAGTGTCAGAGAAAGCATGAGAAAGTCCCATCATGACCAAGCCTGCATCATCACTAACCCATCAGAGATCTGCCTCTGACCTACATTACCAGAGAGCATTAATAAAGAGGAAAGTGATGAGATGTGATGCACAGAAGATAAAGGACACCAATTTTATAGCTGCTGAGACACTCATTCAGCTTAGTTAACGTAAGAACTGGGAGCTTTTGTGAAGCAGGGTGAGTGCAGCGCCCTGGGGGATGCAGGCTATTAGTTGTCAATGGGATGTGAGGCGAGAGGCAGCCGGGCAGGAGGCGGAGGCAGCAGCCCATCCATGAATACCCTCAACGCTGCTCTCCTGCTTCCTGCATTCACTTCCTCAACAAAGAACCACAATGGTGTCCTTTGCGATCTTGGCTGGCTGAGACGGCTCCTGGCGATGCTCAGAGCCATGTGGGGGTTGTGTGTGAGAGGGGTTATTGAGAGCCGGCTCTAACACCACACAGCCAGTCTGCACGTGCCCAACCTGCAGCCTGCCAGTGGCCAAACAAAAGGGATGATGTCATGTTTAGCCAATGACAAAAGATTCTAGATCTGTCAGGCCCGCCCTTCTCACCCGGCAGGTTCCAGCCTTATCCAGCTTTAGCATTAATCAAAAGCCTTATCCTCTTTGCTGTGGGTGGGGGATGGATAATAAACCAGCCACGGTGTAGCTGTGGACAGGGAGAGGAAATAAACTGGAACAGGTCAGTGCAGAGACGGACGCAGATACGGCTGCAGCAGACAGACACCGCTGTCATGAGAAAAGTGAGACAAAGGAGGAAACCCGGCGCTGCTGGGTGCCACAGTGTGACATCTGCCAAGCACAGGGCCGCACACAGAGATGAACCCAACATAGAAACACGCTCGAGCCGATAATGAAACTCATACCCATGACTAAACCCAAAAGGTTCAAATGTCACGCTGCTGCAGCTTTCAACACTTTCAGATTTTCTTCTCAAGCTTTGCTGCTTTTTTTGTGCAGCATCAAGTCAAACACCTTCAATATATGAGCGGGATTCTAAGGTCTGAGTAAAAAGAAATTGTGTGCACGTGACTATGTAAAGCCCTTGCAATTAGAGTCATAACAGCAAGCCGGTGAGAAACAGCAGGTGCGCAGGAACACTTTAAGCCATTTTAATGTGGGAGCTGAGCTGGAGGTTGTTTTACTTAATAGAATAATCTGTCCATCCATATTTACCATTTTTAAATGTTCACATTTAGAGCGCTCATAATTTTGCTCTTTAGACGAATGGGATTAGCGATATGCTCATTTTTAATTGCACTTTCAAAGTACAAGTCTACTGACATTATAACAAAGTGCATGAATTATCTAATTTGGAAATAAATAAAAAAATACATTTGTATCATTGTTAAAGATTCAGTTAGTTTAGAGGAGTTAATTCAATTCAATGGTGAAAAACATTTTTTATTCTCTCAGCTATTTCCCAACAGATTAAAATAACGGTCCCACTCACCTCAAATATTAATGTGAAAACTGTAGAAAGGGACATTTTTCTATGATTTATAAAGTGGAATGGAAAAAAACACATGTACAGCACAAGTGTTTTATTTATATTATACATTTAATAGGTAATAATAATAAAAAATTGGTGGGCAAAAAGAATCAATAAGAGGCAGAAAAAGATAATTTGCTTTTGTGTCAGTTTCAAATCCAGGACAGATGTGAATCTTTTGTCTACAAAAGACAAAACAGGAGGAGGTCATGAAAATATTTTACACAATAGACATGCCACTCTGACCTGCTCTTGGCGTCTGTCAAACAACAAAAACAATCATATTTTATGGACTGTCACACCTAATGAGAAAAAAATGTAATAGCTTGTCAAGCGTCATTGTTTATCTTGAGGGGTGTTGAGTTAAATGCTTAAAAAAACATTTGCAAACAGAAAAAGAAAGACTTTCTGAGCTGATCGTTTTCTGTCCTCATACATGTTAGGCTGTTGAGAGACGCATGCAAAGAAACTATATAAAGGGACAAAACACCCTCCCACCCCGCCCTCGGCCAAGGTTTCCCCTCTCATATTTCCTTCAGTTTCACACAGAGCCTAAAAATACAGGAGCTGGCATGCCACAGGTGCACCGGCCATGGAAAAAAACTCGGTCATATTCAAGGAAGAAGTCATGGAAAAGGCAAGGATCTGATTTCAGGGCCACTGATAAGCTACAAAATCTACACTATCCCTGCCTGAGGGCCAAATATAACCTGCACAGATGTGATGCAGGCCTGGACTAGCACAGAAGACCCTGAACTCCATGAGCACATGAGACTGGCTGCTGCTGACTCTCACTCAGTAACTCAACAAAGGCTGGCTGGAATCTGAAACTTTTGATTCAAAAGGTTTTACTATTCTAATATGGTGAAAGAATAAAGCGAGCAGCATTTGTATGTTTTTATTTCAAAATACACCTGACATGAGATCTCTGATCTTTAGACAACTGTATAACATTTCCATTGGGGTTCTTCAGTAGGCCTGTCACGATAAAAAAATTTTGCTGGGCAATTAATAGTCTCAGAAATTATTGTGATAAATGATACTATTGTTTGAAATTTGACAATAATTAGTAATTATTGTCAAATTTAAGAAGAAATGTTTAATTTGTTTTATGTGCAGTACTTTTTTTTATTATCACCAGACGGCAGTATAAGACTGTTTGAACAGATGGATGGAAAGTGAGGGAGCAAGCAGCGTGTCTCTTTAAGAAAAATGAGAGGGAGGCCCCTTGACATGACCTGGGCTGTCTCTCTTCGGTTCTCAAAATGGCAGATGCTCGGTGTGGTTTGAGCTCTTTAGCATAGCATTTTTCACACAAAGCTTTTAATTAAAAAAATAAGTAAAAAAGTTCTCAGCTTCTTTTTGCAGAGAAAAAGACACGGGTTTCAACCGTGAATTTTGGAGCTTTGACAAGACGGAGGTTTTTTTTCCCCGAGGTCGACCCGTTAGCTTAGCTCATAGCTTAGCTTCTCAGCTTAGCTACTTTTAATGATCCAAGAATGCAATTTTAGACTGTTAAAATGGATTTTAAAGAGAAAAGAGAAAGGGAGGGGTCAGTGAAGAGCACCGGAGTTGAGCCGTGTCTGCAGTAGAGACACGAAGAAACGATAAAGTCGATAAATGAAAATGACGTTGATAATTTTCATTTATCATGCGATTAATTGATTTATTATTTATCGGGACTGGCCTATTCTTTAGTTTTACATTATTTTACAGCTATCCTCAGTATATTTATGTCTTGAATCAAAGCCGATTCTCCAAAACGAGCAAAAATAATTCTGACAAAATGAACAAACTATAAATCCACTCTTCTAATTTGCCTTCTTCTCTGCAAGAATTATCTGCCATTTTCTTTGTATATCTTGAAAATTACCTGGAACAAAGACACTGCAAATTTAACTTATACACTTTTTATTAAATCTAACTAAGAGGTAAACAAGAAACTCGCACAGAACTGCTTTCAAAACAACAAAAACAAGCTCCTCACTTATGAAATACCTTGCGAGCATCAGTGGTTGTGGAGCTGTAACTCACCTTCACCTTGCCGTTGGGTTGCAGCAGCTCCGTGACGGACACCTTGTCCTGCTGCAGTCGCCTCTTCACCAGCTTGGAGTAGCAAACGTTGACCGCACCTTGCACGTGCGAAGCGTTGTACTCAGAAAACGTCCTGCTGTCAATCACCAGCAAGCGACCCGTCCCTCTCTGGATGAGGCTCGCCAGGCGCTTGATATCCATGACACTCCGCTTGTTTGAGCCCTTCTCCCCTGCCATGATAGCCGAGTGGAAGGCGGTTTGTATGGGATGGGGTTTAGAGGAAGAGGGTGAAGGTAGAGGGAAAGGTGGAGGAAGGGGTCAGTGGAGGGATGCTACCACCGGAACAGGTGCTAAGAGATCCATGGTGCCTAAAAAGAGAAGAGATAAACACAAAAGAAAATGTAGAAGAAAAACAACAAGTTCAGACATTCAAATCAGCATGATCAGTCCAGAGATTCTGAGGGTCAGATGATCATTAAGGCAACAGGTCATTTCTCATGTTTCAGAGATCTATTTTGGTGCTTTTGCATCATCTTTTGTTAGAAGCTTTGAGCGCCTCACTTATTAAAATAACCCGATGCTAAACAAGAGTTATTTAAAACCCTAAGAGCCAAAAGGATTAAGAATCCATGCTCGGATCTGAAAGAATAGCAAGCTTCAAAATAAAAAGCCACAGTATTAAATTGGACACAAGAATGAAATATGTATGCGTGTGCAAGTGTGTGTGTGTAATTTGGTGCCTGATGATCACAGGTCTTGTGTGTAGCAGCTCATGAAACAGGAAACTGAGAGTGTGAGATAAATAAAACCAGGGGAATTTAGAGAGCAGGCCCGGACACAAGCAAAGCGCCTGTGTGACATCCCGAATGTGTGTTTGTGTGAGAGTGTGTGTGTTTGTGAATGTGTGTGGCAGAGAAATATCCATAAACTTGATGACCTGCCTCCTTCTATCCATCACTTCCCATCCCTCTCAACTCCCCCATGCTCCCATTCACCACAACGTTTGTACATTGAACACGAGTCTCACGCTCACGTTCATTAATAGGAGTTTATGACTGTGTTTGTGTGATTAATAGTTTGTGCATGTGATGACCGTAACAAAAGAAAAGTGTAATTTGTTTGAGATTATAAAAATAAGAGCTTGTACGTTGAGGATTGCTTCTTTGGTTAAGTCGGCTTCATGCAGGAGGCTCAGAATGTGAACGGCCGCGGCGCTGTTTTATTTATCTAAGGGCACGTGGTGACATGAAAAATGAATGGGCTCGAGTCTCATTTACGCTCAAGCCTAAAAGAAGCTTTAAAAGAGAAAGTAATGAGTAAGAGGTGTGGAAACCAATAGGGCAAGGGAGAAACGCAAGAGTTCTCCTATGATAACAAGGGGAGAAAGAATCATTCCATGTAAAACAGTGAAAGAGTGGGTGAAAAAACAACAAAGAGAAAATGTGTAAAATCTGTTTCTTCTTATTGTTTTTGGATGACATTAAACCTCTCTGCTGTGCAACTTTTCATTTATGTCCTGGCTCCTGCATGCATGTGCAGAGAGGAACGGAGGAGAGCTGAAGAGAATCGGTGAAAGATGTTCAGTGAAGATCTCGCCAGCCAATAAATTCAATTCAGTTTATTTATAGAGCGCCAAGTCACAACAGAACTCATCTGAACAGAAACATTCATATACATAAAAATTCAATTAGTAACATTATTTGTCTAAGGTAGGGCACCACGGTGGCGCAACTGGTAGAGATAGTAGAAATAGAGATCCAAGAAACTTTGAATAGAGGACAACTGCTGCAGTCCTTGTTATCATCAAGCTGCTAGCGGGGCCTGCTAATGCTGCTAACAAGATTCTCCATCTGCCTGCATGGACCGAACTCTACAAACCCGTTTGGTTCCGCAGGGAAACCTTGGATGTTCTCAGTCTGCTGGACCTGGTTCTGGACTGTGGTTTGTGAAAGCAGCTGCTGCGGTCCTTATTACCATCAAGCTGCTGACTGGATCTGCTAACAAGACCTGCTAAGCTGCTAACAAGACCACGCCGCTAACAGAACAGAACCATGCTGCTGAAAGAACCTCACTGCTAACAGAACCACACTGTAGATGTATTTCTTTTTCAACTTTGGCGCCTTGTTTTAGTATTTTGGTACTTTGTAGTATTTTTAGTATGTTTTTATTAGTATTTTTGCTGCATGCTTTGGTATTTGTTGTTTTATTTTTTGACGAGTCGAGACGGTTCTTCTCGTCCTAAGCATTGTTGATTTTGCATATGACAAATAAAGCTAACCTGAACTTGAGATGTCGCCTCTCAGTGAGCAAGTTAACCTGGTTCAAAGGAGTCTTTCTGGGTGGAGTTTGCTTGTTCTCTCCGTGCATGCGTGGGTTTTCTCCGGGCACTCCGGTTTCCTCCCACAGACCAAAAACATGCATGTTAGACGGAATAGTAACTATAAATCATCCCTAGGTGTGAGTGAGAGAGTGAATGGTTGTTTGTCTCGTTTGTCTCTATGCGTCCCTGTGATGGACTGGAGACCTGTCCAATGTGTCCCCAGCCTCTTGCACAGTGATGGCTGGACATACCATACCATACCATACCAATTTATTTATATAGCACTTAAAACAGCAACAAGGCCAACCAAAGTGCTGTACAAAAGAACACAAACATGCACAGCGGACAGGAAAACATAAAATAGAAATACAGATACAAATAGCAGCAGAAGCTAACTAAAATGGCCAACAGAGTAGAGAACAGACCGGACCAAAAACAAATCACACCGTGTTAAAGGCAAGCGAATAGAAGTGAAATAGAATAGACATGGGCACCAGTGACCCCACAACCCAGAAAAGAAAAAAAAAAGAAAAAAAGGAAGAAGCGGGTAAAGATAATGGATGGATGGATGGATGGATGGATGGATGGATGGATGGATGGATTTATCTAAGGTAGGGTAGCCAGCAAATTGTGTTGCGTCTTCATTTTGTCATTAATAAACTTTACCAGGTGGTGGTGAGGCAGGAAAATCTGTGGCGATGACAGATTTTATTTTCTCTAGTGAGAACATGAGTAGTGGAAAGACACCACCAGTGAAGACAGGCACCAACTTTCTGAGACCGTGTGTGGAAAAAGTGGGTAAAGAAAATGAAAGGATATGTTGATTAATTCCATTAACCAAAGGAAAACATTCATCTTCACTTACATGACTGCATGCAACATTAAACAAACATGAAGTGGCTAAAATCCCAACAACCGTGCCAAATGGCTTTGCATTAGCATAAATTAAAAACGGTAAGAAAATAGTAGTTTTCTGTCACTATAAGGCCTATCGGCTGTCCAAGCCTGAACATAAACACACATGTTCTATTGCTGCTTGACAACATACTTGATGCAAGGAAAACCTGGACGAAAATCTAAATGAACAGCTTTGATTCAGTGTAAACACAGACACGCTGCTTGTGCACCAGACAGTGCAATGCAACGCAATAAGATGTGCAACAATAAGAACATCAGTTAAAACAAAAGCACCAAAATCAATCAGATTATAGACATACAGTAGTAATAAAATAATTAGAATCCACAAACTCGAGGCTAATCTGACCATGTGTCACTCAGTGATAGAATCGCAGATTTCTGCAGTAACTGTGACCTGCAGCATGTAAAACACAAACAATACAAAGACGTATTCTCATCCAATCTTCATGCAGATTCGAGGCGACACCTACCAGACACATACCTCACACATAATTTGTCCTGCACCCTGTTAGACCATACCATCTCTGGTGGGGACACCTTCAGCTGAGGAGCTAGCACAGCTTACAGGGTGGGAATCTTTGCCCTCCCTGTGTTTCTGTGTCCCAGCTGCTGAGCACAGCGTCTGACGCTGCAAATGTCTAATGGCGACCGCTCTCCCGCCCACCCAGAGTCTCCCACTTTTATTCCTCCCTGAATCCCTCCTTCCTTCTCTGTCACTTTCTTCCTTCCTTTTGTGCAGTAGATGGGGATGGGGAGGAGGATCCAGGTTGTTGTATTTTATTTGTGTGGTGGTGAGACTGGAGCTGTGCGTCTTTCTAGACAAACATCCCACACAGTTTGAAATAAAGACAGAAAAAAAGATGCAGGGAAGATTATAAAGAAAACACTATGATACTGGAAAAATGAGTAATTAGTTGAAGATGATGATGATTAAAAAAAGCACAATCCTCAGGATGCCGAAGCAGCCCATCCCATTCAAACCAATGGATGTGTCTCCCTGTCTTCTTTCCAGGCAGGAATGAATAAATAAAAATAAAGAAACATTAAAATCAACAGTAACGACAGCTGGGCTCTTCACACCGCAAAGGGAGTTTGCTGTGCGGTTGTGGCTGAGCAGAGGAAAACAAGCAAAGTGGAGATAAAGCAGGTAGACAGACAGTGTGCAGACCCAGAGCAGAATCTGTTGTTGCCATGGTAACAGTCTGGCTGGGGTGAACGAGGACTCAGAGAGAGTGAGAGATGGGATGCTACTGGTGCTGATGCTGGGTGAGGATGCAAAAAGAAGAAGTAAATAAAATAAAATAATAAATTGAAGGTTTGAGACTTCCAATTCTAATTTTGAGCCGTCCCACATTAATGTCTCTTCAAAATGTTTTAAAATTTTTAATGAAATTATTCTATACGTCTTAATGACAGGTTGTTTTTGAAATAGTTCTGTCTCACACAATCTGCTTTTGATTTGTTTTACTCTTGCTTAAGAAAAAAAAAGTTTTTTTTTTCTTTAGAAAACAATTTTTTTTGCTTTTTCAAAACAAAAGTTTACATGAAATCAAGTCAAGGACAAGGTTGCATCTAGTAATAAGTGATAAATATAAATAAATAAGAGACATGCTGTGTAACCAGCTATCGAAGGCTGAAGTACAAACAACTAATCACAACTCAAATATTAATATTTATTAATTAACATAGGTTTAGTTAATCACCACGGATTTTCTCTTTTGCAATAATCATGGCAAATACACAATTATCCATCAGGCTAAAAATAAAACTGACTTCTGGAAATAAACTAACTCTCTATTTAATGTGTCACAGCTTAGAGGAGGGCTCCCAACGCCAACTTTAGGTGCAGCTGATTTAAACTGATTGACTGACGGCAAAACTAATTTATCATGAGAGTTGTTCTTATCTAATCAAGACATTTCAATAACTTAATCTCCATACACGTTTTTCTTTAAGAACTGAGCTTTTAACTGTTCAAAGTTTAAAAAAAACAACAACCATAAAATCAAGCCTAGCCTTTCTTCTGATCTGCTTTGAACAGTCCACACAACAAAACTTTTAGGCCTAAATATACATTTTTAAGTTCTTAAATTCAAGTTTGGACTTCAGCAATGCAGAAAATGTGATAATA